TGGCACCAAGTGATTACCATCTGTTCCTGTCCATGGCGAACAATTTTGCTGGTGAAAAATTCGCTTCAAGAGAGGCTTGTGAAAATCGACTGTCTCAATTTTTTGCCAATAGGGACGAGAGCTTCTATGAGAGAGGCATAATGAAATTACCTTCAAAATAGCAACATGTTATCAAACAAAACGGCGCATATTTGACCTAAATCGGATCATTCTAACTATGGCAATTAAAGCCTTCAATTTCATGCAAAAATAATGGATTTCTTTTTACTACACCTGATATTTAAAACTAAGGGGTCTGAGGTAATATGTGACCACTGCTCAGCAAAAAGACTTAGGCGACCGGCAAATCTTACATTACTTAATATAGATAACGAGACCGGGTCCGTGACTGAGGTCGTTGACGGCGGCTCCTGCTACAAGAGGCTCCTGTTTGCCGAGCCGTCGGAAGGCGAACAGGGATCTTGCGGTTTCCCGGAAGTTGTGGTTTGGATGTCTGAGTTTTCAGACGACGAGGCGCCTGCTGGCGACCAGGTTACAGCGTCTTCCCTCCTGTAAGAGGTGCCGATTTGGCAACTTCGCGACTCGTCCTCTCACAGGCCTGAGCTGCCTTTAATGTTTCGGCAAAGTTGTGGCCGAAAAGGAATTCATCCAAAGACGCTATGTTTGCAGCGTCCTTGCCGATAATATTGAGCAAAGGTTTAACAAAGGCTCTTCTTGTCAAAGAGAGACGATAATAGTGGTCCGAGAGTAAGTGTATGCACTCTGACAGGTTTGTCAGGGCAGATTTTGTCTCATCGTTGAGTTTCTGTAAAGACTGCGGTTTCAACAGAAACGACATGCCTGAACACAAGGCACTGAGGCAGGCACCTACTTGTGCTTGTAAGAGTGAGTGATACTCGTCTTTCTTGAAGGTAGAAGGATTTAAGGCCGCTGCGATCTCCTTATTGAGTTTCGGTGGGGCTAATACTACAAGGTCGTCTTTGACTTCGTATTTGGCCAGAAGACAATTACGGGTTTCCTCGTTTAAACCTGTTCGAGATTCTGCTTTGATTGATTTCAGAATGATGGGATCCCAAGATGATATTGTTGGGGGAACCTCTGATCCGCCAAACAATTCTCTGATCAAAGCCTGAGACGTTGAAACAGCCAGCGGATCTTCCGAATCCGGAAGGATAGTGACAAGAGAGTCAGCAAAATGCACTGAGCCGGGAGCCAGATGCTCTATGTTGTCGACTTGCGAAAAAACCGGCGTAGCTGGTACAGCGCTTCGGTACGCTTGTGCGACCGGCTGCTCTTCTACAATTTGGAATGGACCCTGTGGCATGAGCGAAGGGAGTGGTGCCGGAATCTCCCTGGGGGCAAAATCTACTGTGCCGGGAGCCTGAGGCTCTATTTTATCGACTTGCGAAAAAACCGGCGTAGATGAGTAGAACAGATAGAAGAGACAATCGGTTATGTCCTCTTTTTGCTAGGATTTATTGAACAATGCTGGGTCGACAAAAGGACATATCTGATACAGCGCCCCGGTACGCTTGTGCGACCGGCCACTCTTCTATAATCTGGTCTGGGCCCTGTGGCGTGAAGGACGACCTAACCTCCTGAGAGTGCTCGTTAGAATGGAGGTTATGTCCGACCTCTCTAGAAGTGATGAACTCACGCATTTGATCGGGAATTTCCACGAGAGAAATTCGAGGAAACCGTCCTTCTGACGTTCGAGAGATACGCGAGTGACGTGCACTTCTCGATCTGCTTTGTGAACGGTCCTGTAATCGCCTGTCCCAAGAATAATCTTTTGGACAGTGCCTATGTGTTTTCTCCCTCGAGTGTCTCGAGGAGGAATCCCTTTTAGATTTTTTATGCTTAGGCATAACTGAAAGGAGAATAACACAGATTACTAAAGAAAACTGCTAAAGTTAATCCGCGCACCAAGGCTAACGAACAGAACACAATGAAGATCAACGGCGCGCGCAGCGCACGGAAGCACGAGGCGCCACGGTCGGGGCGCCACGGCGCAGAGCGGCGTTTTCTTCTGAGTGGAGGTTTTTTGAATTCTGTTGCCAAGACGCGTGCAGGGGCACGACTACATAGTTCTCCATCCGGACGAGATAGTAGGGGGCATAATCAATATTTTCTTTATTTTAACCAACTCTTTGCTTGTTTTCTGCTTGATTTAATCAATTTTTATTTTATTTGTTTCATTTTAATCGACTAATTTTTTACTGCTTATTTTTTATTTTAATTGAATTTAACAATTTTCAAGTAATTATTTATATTAATTGGCTATAGTCTTTTATCAACATTACGTTTTTCAATAATTTCGTATTTAGATTATGTTTCACTGCACATCCTGTAGCATTATGTAATAGAATAGAATCTGAGTACTATAATTCCTATAGTAGACCAATTACGATGCTTCTTTATCGAGAACTTGGTGATTATGAATTTTATATTAGGTTATGTTCATAAGGCTTTGTTCATAAAGCATATTAGCAAAAATAGACAGTTTTCTTATACAATAAGATTGAAGAATCGGTTAAGCCTATTGGATACTCAATTGGATTAGAATTACTGCGTTGATTTTGCCTCAACTTACTAGGTGCGCAACTAAGTTTCCGGGTTTCACACATGGATGGCGCTAACGACACCTATAGTCGATATACATGTCTGAAGTTGTGTTTTTTTGTAGATTGGACATCTGTTAACAATAACCAGTTGTAATACCAACACATGTCGCAACGCAAAAATATTTTTTCTAATAACGAAGATGTCGAGTTTTGTGCCGAATAAACAGCTTATGCGGGAAGTTTTGCTTTTCTGCTTTAACTTGAAAAAAAGTGCAGCTGAAGCACATCGTTTGCTTGAGAAGACCTACGGCGAACATGCACAATCGAAAACTACCTGTGAAGATTGGTTTAAACGCTTCAGAAGTGGCGATTTCGACACTGAGGACAAGAAGCGCTCCGAAAGACCAAAAACAATTGAGGACGCCGATCTGCAAGTGTTATTGAATGAAGATGATACGCAAACTCAAGATCAATTTGCTGAGGCATTAAACATGATTCGCCAAGGTATTTCCAAACGTTTACATGCCATGGGAAAAATTCAAAAGGAAGGAAAATGGGTGCCACATGAGTTGACTGAGAGACAGATGGAAAATCAAAGAGCCACTTCCGAAACTTTGTTTTTGCTGCATGAAAGAAAGAGTTTCCTGCATCAAATTGTTGCTGGCGATGAGAAGTGAATATATTTCGAGAATCTCAAACACAAAAAATCATGGCTTTCACCTGGCAAAGCATCAACATCGACGGCACGGCCAAATCTCTTCGGAAAGAAGACAATGCTCTGCGTTTGATGAGACCAGAAAGGAATCGTATACTATGAGCTGCTGAAACCGGGAGAAATTGTCAATGGGCATCGCTACCGACAACAACTGGTCAATTTGAACTATGCATTGCTCGAAAAACGGTCAGAATGGGACACGAAATACGTACGAGTGGTATTGCAGCACGACAACGCTCCGTGCCATCGCACTTCCATCTTCCAGGACATCATCAAGACGCTGAAATGGGATCTGCTATCGCACCCGCCGTATTCGCTAGCCCTGGCTCCTTCCGATTATCACTTGTTCCGGTCAATGACGCATGGCTTGGCTGGGCAACACTTGGCCAATGTCGAAGAAGTGCAAAATTGGTTGGATGAATGGTTTCGGTCCAGAGACGCGTTGTTTTATCGTCGCGGTATTCATGTATTGCCAGAGAGATGGCAAAAATGTGTAGCTAGCGAGGGACGATACTTTGAATAAATCATTTTTTGTATTTCTCTTGAAATTTTCCATTTTTCATTGATCAAAAAACCCGGAAATTTAGTTGCGCACCTAGTAATTACAGGCATTGCATAATACTACCAGCTCCGTTTCACACTTGAAGCATTATCGTGTCTCTTAATGCGATAGATTCATCAATTTATTGGAGAAAATAATTTGGAGAATATTTTTGCAGAAAGTAGCTCAAATAAATGTGAGAATTATAAACAAAAAAAAATAATACAGATGAAGTTTGAAATAAAAGCAGCTTAACATAATGCAGGATAAGACTGCAATATTTTAAAGTGCTATATCTTGTATTGGACTATTTGAAACTACTTGAAACCTCTACGTGTAGTTTAAAATACACATAATTAAAAATTTTGCTCTTTAGTATATCCGAAAATCAAAGAAATCTGAAATACATAATTTATATTTATTATAATTGTATTTTCCATCGAATTAATATTAAGTAAATTAAAAAAATATGTTTAGAAAATATAATGAAAAGACATATAGAGGCAATATACACTTGTTCAGCATACTCGTATCAATCGAGTATTTAAAATAAATAAATAGATAATTAAGACTCTTATAAATATACGATTATATCAAAATATCACAAGGATTTTTATTTATTTAAACAGTAAAGATTACATGGAACAATTTTGTTTACGTAGAATAATTAAATATTACATTCCAATTATAACTAAAACTTAGATTTAAAATAAAGGATTGCTTTTCGTCTAACAATACAAATTTAACGCAAATTTATGGTAATCTGACAAAATCGAAAACAGATAATAAATTTGTGTCACAAGCACATCTACTTATAAGTTTAAAAAACCGAAATCATCGCGAAATCACTAGCAAATTTTAATAATATGTAATTAAAAAATTGCTATGATCTCGACTTAGTATTAAAATTTCTGAATTTCTGATTAAAATAAATAAGACTTTATAAAAAGATTATGCTATTTACATATAATTTTCGAATCATATAAAGTGAGATAAAAACAATCAGCATAAATTTTAAATTATAAATACGTATTAATATTATAATTATAATTTTAATTAAAGAAACTATAATTATATTTTTATTAATTGTATTAATAATCATGTTATATATATATATATAAATAAATTTATTAATAATTATAATTATATTAATAATTATATTATTAATAATATATGTCGAAAGTATTATGGTAAGCAGAAAGAACTCTTTCACAAAGAAACATTTTCATTATACTTTATTTCTTATATTCATGAAAATGAACGAAGACATCGTCATTTAGTTTGATCTTTCCCGAAAGGTGCACCTCGCAATTAACTCCTATCGCGAAAAATTTTGCATTTTGTTTCATTTCCAATTGATTGCATCTAAACCAAAGAAATGATACATATGTTGATAAAAGTCAATTATTATTCTTTCATATTCGTCATAAAGTTTCAAAATACATGATTAATTTTAATTAGTAAAAGGTATATAAAATTAATTGGGAAGTAAATAGATGCAAGAGAAATACGAACAATAATACACATGTATATAATTACTTCGGCCATGTTTGATACAATGAGCTATTCTTGATTATTACATTGCCAATTTTAATCCATTTCCATATTTTTCCTATATAGAGATTTGAAGTGGAAATGATGATGTTCGGACAGTACTTCATGTCCTGTCCATATGTTTCAAATTTTTCAGACATTTTTTCATACTGGACCGTCGATATTAATATGCTGTTTAATATATTTACAAATGGATCCTGAAAAAAGGAAGAATTGATATCATTTATTTCATTTAATCGTATATCACTTATTTTATATTATGATATTGAAAATTAATATAATAAGATACATAACATAACATATAAATGTTGGGTATATTAATTTTTATTAAAATGTCAAGTTTTTCTCTTAGATTTTTACGCAACATTCATAGCTTGATTATAAATATCATCAAATTAATAAGAAATATATGATATAGATCTCTTGTGTATGTGTGCGCGCTTTTTATAACTATTTCATGCATTGACTATGCTCTTTCTCTACGTTGATTTCCATTAATATTAAATAGACATAACTGACAATTAAATAACTAAAGATTAGTGATAAATAAATATAATTTAAGATGCATATATCTTTCATTTTGTCTCATCGATTTTCTACAGACAATTTTTTTAGAAATGTAATTAGTTATTCTTCATAATACTTATGATTAAGTACGACATAATGCCATTATACAGGGTGCACGATTTATCTGAAGACATTGAAATATCTCGAGAACTATGCATTGGATAAAAAAAAGTGGTTAATGAAAGTTGTTAGTCTCGAAGGGGGACATCTAATGATACCAAACCCGACCTCCCACCCCACCCCCTGGTGGTTGGGGGCAACTTTGAAATCTTAAATGGAAACCCCCATTTTTTATTGCAGATATGGATTCTACGCCACAAAATACGTAAATTTTGTCCGAAACTTTTTTTTTGATTCGCGATAAATGGCGCTGTAATCGCAAAAAATTGTATTTTCCGCAATTCTCCAGAAATGATCATTGGATTGAGAAATAAAAAATACCTGTTCAATATTTTTAAAGAACATAATAAAAGTTATTCCCCCCCATCCTCTCGGGGTAGGGTGGGTGATAACGTTCAAATCTCAAATGGGGACCCACATTTTTCATTGCAGAATTAGATTGTACGTGAAATTTTTATTGAAACAATTTTTTTCATTGAAACAATTTTTTATAATAAGCCGTAGTTCGCCATATACCCACAGTGGCGCGTCGAGCAGTTCCCTCTTCGATTCGGGTTCCCATTTCAGATTGGAACGTTATCACTCACCCTACCCCGAGAGGATGGGGGGGAAATAACTTTTATTATGTTCTTTAAAAATATTGAACAGGTATTTTTTATTTCTCAATCCAATGATCATTTCTGGAGAATTGCGGAAAATATAATTTTTTGCGAAAATTACAGCGCCATCTATCGCAAATAAAAAAAAAAGTTTCGGACAAAATTTACGTATTTTGTGGCGTAGAATCCGTATCTGCAATAAAAAATGGGGGTTTCCATTTAACATTTCAAAGTTGCCCCCAACCCCCACCCCCAGGGGGTGAGGTGAGAGGTCGAGTTTGGTATCATTGGATGTCCCCCTTCGAGACTAACAACTTTCATTAACCACTTTTTTTTATCCAATGCATAGTTCTCGAGATATTTCAATGTCTTCAGATAAATCGTGCACCCTGTATATATAGTTACTCTAATCGGTGATCATTATGGCATTCAACATATTAGTGAATTATATTAATTACCAAATTGTATTCATTTCGCAATGATTTTCGATATATTATGCAATCTCTTGCCCAAGTGTGCCAGAATGTGCTCATTAAATACAAAGAATTTGTAATATATCCTAAGCGTACACCATCATCTTTCTCTTTTAAAAATCTGTAATTTACATTACTCATATCATATAACGTACAGATATAAAACGATATAAATGATATAAAATATCATAGATGAATTGTCATTGATGAAGTTTTACCTGGAAAGCCATTTGGCAGCTTCGTCGCCGCAATCAATACAAATTAATCTGGGAACTGTTATCATTTTGGTGCTACACCAATAATCACACTTGACGATTGCTGATTGGTTTAACTCGGTGCATAAAGTGGGCATCTTTGCGGCTTGTAATATTAAGTGATTGTGTTCGAATGATAAGCTCACCTCACTCAACGTTGGGATAGTCTTGGAGGTTATTATATATTTGGTTAAATTATCGAATACTACGAATGATCTATCGGTATAGAATAAAAATTGTTATTTCCGGTAGATTATGATATAGTAAGATTTATTGGGGACTTGAATAAGTTCTCGCTGTTTCCCGACAGATGATGTTATCTTAGACTTTTTGCAATCGGGCAATACTACAGCCAACTTCATTGTGAAGCTCCACCATTAGGTTCGAAGTGATAGTATATGTTATTCTGCCGAAGAGTAAATAACATATTTTTTCATAGCGTTAAACATGTCGAATTTCATCCCAAAAAAAAAGTATTTGCGAGGAATTTTACTGTATTACTTTTAAAAAAAAAATCTGCAGCTGAAGCACATTCTTGTGGAGACTTACGGTGACCATGCTCTGCCGGAAACAACATGCAGAGATTGGTTTAGATGCTTTAAAAATAATGATTTTGATGTTGAAGATAAAGAACACTCTGGCACACCGAAAAAGTTTGAAGACGAAGAATTGGAAGCATTACTCGATGAAGACCTATGTCAGACGCAAAATGAACTTGCAGAATCATTAGGAGTTGATCACACAACAGTTGCCAAACGTTTAAAAGCATTAGGAATGATTCAAAAGCAAGGAAATTGGGTGTAGTACAAATTGAAACCGAGAGACGTCGAACGGCATTTTTTCACGTGTGAACAGCTGCTCCAACGGCAGGAAAGGAAAGATTTTTTGCATCGTATCGTGACTGGCGATGAAAAGTGGATACACTACGATAACTCGAAGCGTAGAAAATTGTGGGGTAAGCCCGGCCATGCATGAATATCGACGGCAAAGCCGAATATCCATGGTTCCAAGCTCATGTTTTGTATTTGGTGGGATCAGCTGGGTGTAGTATTTTATGAGCTCCTTAAATCCAACGAAACCATCACGGGAGATCGCTATCAACTACAATTGATACGTTTGAGCCGAGTATTGAAGGAAAAACGGCCTACGCAATACGAGGAGAGATACGACAAAGTAATTTTGCAGCTCATCTTTTGAGGTTATCCATGAATCGACCCATTCTTTGGCATCTTCATAAGAATGGAAGCGCTGCTCAGCCAGGCCATGAGTCATCGATCGGAACAAGTGCTAATCGGAAGGAGCAATGTCCGGTGAATACGGCGGGTGGGGTAGGACTTCCCATTTGAGCGTTTCCAATTAGGTTTTGACTGGTTTTGCAACATGTGGCCGAGTATTGTCATGCTGCAAAGTTGTAATATCTCTCCTCGTATTGCGGCCGTTTTTCCTTCAATGCCCGGCTCAAACGCATCAATTGTAGTCGATAGCGATCTCCCGTGATGGTTTCGTTGGATTTAAGGAGCTCATAAAATACTACACCCAGCTGATCCCACCAAATACAAAACATGAGCTTGGAACCATGGATATTCGGCTTTGCGGTCGATATTCATGCATGGCCGGGCTTACCCCACAATTTTCTACGCTTCGAGTTATCGTAGTGTATCCACTTTTCATCGCCAGTCACGATACGATGCAAAAAACCTTTCCTTTCCTGCCGTTGGAGCAGCTGTTCACACGTGAAAAACGCCGTTCGACGTCTCTTGGCTTCAATTCGTACGGCACCCAATTTCCTTGCTTTTGAATCATTCCTAATGCTTTTAAACGTTTGGCAACTTTGTGGTTGTGTGATCAACTCCTTATGATTCTGCAAGTTCATTTTGCGTCTGACATAGGTCTTCATCGAGTAATGCTTCCAATTCTTTGTCTTCAAACTTTTTTGGTGCGCCAGAGTGTTCTTTATCTTCAACATCAAAATCATTATTTTTAAAGCGTTAAAACCGGTCTCTGCATGTTGTTTCCGACGGAGCATGGTCGCCGTAAGTCTCCACAAGAATTCTATGTGCTTCAGCTGCAGATTTTTTTTGAAATAAGTAATGCAGTAAAATTCCCCGCAAATATTCTTTTTTTGGGACGAAATTCGTCGTGTTTAACGCTATGAAAAAATATGTTGTTTACGCTTTGGCGGAATAACATGTACTGTCACTTCGGGCCTAATAGTGGAGCTTCATAATGAAGTTGGCTGTAGTATTGCCCGATTGCAAAAGGCTAAGATAATACCATCTGTCGGGAAACAGGGAGAACTTATTCAAGTGCCCAATATATATAATAGAAATATTACATATTAGGTTGTCTAAAAAGTATTGAGCCTTTGGAGGTTAAAATTGACAATACGTTTATTGTTATTTGAAAATAACATTATGAAACCACATATGCACCATTTTGTTTGATGACCTTCTGCCATTTTTCCGGCAATACCATAATCCCGTCGCTATAGAACTTTTGTAGTTTCTGGTCAAAAAATTGTGACACGTGGTTTTCACAGGCCTCTTTTGAAACTAACTTAAGGGAATGCTGGAGTCGTCAACGAACTTGCAAAGCGTCGGTAACGTAGAGGCGATCGTCAAAAAGTAGGAAACGTTATCATCTGTTATCGACGTTAGTGAATTTTGATACACAATGTGTATATATATTTACATAGTATTTATATATTAGGTTCGCAACTAAGTTCCCGCTGTTTTTCAAGAGATGGCTCCAGTAGTAAGTGCTGGTCGATTGTGACATAACCAAAACGTCATGAACCAAGCTTAGACATATGGTAAACAAACCGCTTTGACACATTAGTGATTTTGTTTTTGCGTCATATACTTTTGGTTGTGTGAAAATGTCTGATTTTGTGCCAAATAATCGTCATTTGCGGGAAGTGTTGCTTTTCTTCTTTCATTCGAAGAAAACGGCGGCTGAAGCGCATCGAGAACTCCAAAAAGTTTATGGAGATGCTGCTCTAAGTGAAACAACGTGCCGTGATTGGTTCCGTCGCTTCAAAGACGGTGATTTCGATGTTGACGACCGTTCGCGTGAAGGAAGGCCAAAAACCTTCGAAGACGCTGAATTGGAGGCATTGCTCGATGAGGATCCGTGCCAAACACAAAAAGAGCTTGCTTCAGCATTAGGAGTTACCCGCCAAGCCATTTCCAAGCGATTGCATGCGTTGGGAATGATTAAAAAACAAGGAACTTGGGTTCCTTATGATTTGAAGCCAAGAGACGTTGAGCGTCGTTTTTTCGCCTGTGAACAACTGCTCCAGCGGCAAAAAAGGAAGGGTTTTTTTCATCGCATCGTTACGGGTGATGAAAAATGGATTCATTACAGCAACCCAAAGAGAACAAAATCATGGGGACTGCCCGGTCATGCTTCTACGTCGTCGGCTCGGCCGAATATTCACGCTGCGAAGGTTTTGCTGTGTATTTGGTGGGACCAGGGCGGTGTTATTTATTATGAGCTGTTGAAACCGAATGAAACCATCACTGGGGAACGGTATCGAACTCAATTGATGCGATTGAGCCGAGCACTGCGCAAAAAGCGGCCACAATACGAGCAGAGGCACGAAAAAGTGATTCTACAACATGACAACGCTCGGCCTCACGTTGCCAAACCCGTTAAAACCTACTTAGAAACGCTCAAATAGGAAGTCCTACCCCATCCGCCATATTCCCCAGATATTGCGCCGTCCGATTATTACTTGTTCCGTTCGATGGCACATGGTCTGGCTAATCAGCAGTTCCGCTCATACGAAGACATCTCAAAATGGCTTGATTCGGATAGCCTCAAAAGACGAACACTTCTACCGTGACGGTATTCGAGCTCTGCCAGAAAGATGGGAAAAAGTTGTCGCTAGCGATGGGCAATATTTTGAATGATTCATTTGTAACCATTTTTTCACAATAAAGTTGCATTTTCATAAAAAAAACAGCGAGAACTTAGTTGCGCACCTAATAGTAAATACTATTGCCGGATAAGCGCTGATGCGATCACGCTATCCTTTCATCGCATTTTTCCATATATATCTTTTCTCACAGACTTCGGATAAATATATGTGTACATTGTCATTTCGACTTTTCTACACACAGATCTTATATGAATGTGCATGCAACGCTGCCGATATTTGCCTTCTCTCCGAAATATGCATTTTGCTGCTGCTTCTCGGATTCTTCGACTTGCTGATATATCAGGTGTAGTAAAAACAAATCCATTATTTTTCCAATAAATGGCTTTAGTTATCTATATCTCGCGTTGTATAAGTCCGATCGGGTTCCACTAGATGGCGTTAGAAAGATGAGATTTCGTACTAAAAAAACTTTTCTGACAGTTTTGTGATTAGTTGACTCAGTTTTGTTTGAGCGCGCGTCAAAGATGGACACTAGCAAAGAGAAAATACGCTATATTTTACAGTTTTTCTTCGATAAAGGCGAAAACGCAAGCCAGGCGGCTGAAAATGTGAATAGTGTTTATGGTCCTGATACTGTAACAGCCAATCACGCGCAATTTTGATTTCGTCGATTCCGTTCCGGTAATTTCGATGTCAAAGATGCACCACGCACTGGAAGGCCAATTGTCGAAAATATCGATAAAATCATGGACATTGTCGAGTCCGACCGTCATGTAAGCACTGTTTCGATTGTCCAAGAGCTAAAGATTGCACAAAAAACCGTTTGGAACCATTTGAATAAGGCTGGATACAAAAAGAAGCTCGATGGGTGCACGAGTTAACGCAAAAAAGCCTCATGGACCGAATTTCCATCTGCGAATCGCTGCTGAATCGCAACAAAATCGACCCATTTATGAAGCGGTTGGTCACTAGTGATGAAAAGTGGATCACTTACGACAACGTCAAGCGAAAACGGTCGTGGTCGAATCGCGGTGAGCCGGCGGAAACGGTGGCCAAGCCAGGATTGACGGCCAGGAAAGTTCTGCTGTGTGTTTGGTGGGATTGGCAGGGAATTATCTACTATAAGCTGCTCCCCTACGGCAAAACTCTTAACTCGGAACTGTACTGTCAACAATTGGACCGTCTGAAGGAAGCAATCGCCCAGAAGCGGCCAGCTTTGGCCAATAGGAGAGGAATTATGTTCCATCAGGACAACGCCAGGCCACACACATCGATAGTGACTCGCCAGAAGCTCCGGGAGCTTGGTTGGGAGGTTCTTATGCATCCACCTTAT